ACACACACACACACACACATACACACACACATACACACACACACACACACATACACACACACACACATACACACACAAACAACTAAATTTATATACACACACGTACACTAATCCCACACACATGCACGCACTATTCATGAAACTCCTCCGCCAGCCATCGTATGAGAGTGGAAACCCTAACACCGCCATGAAATCCGCTGTCCGCCATCATCCACTAACCACTGCTCCCTTCCGACGCCATCTCCGCCATCGGCGCCGCAGACCGAGGTTATCCGCTGCCAGCTTCGTGATTCTCCTGTGGCTGTCGATTCAGTGCCGCCAGTCCATTGCATTTCCGTCGTTGATGCCGGCGCCGACGTCCGCTACTCGTGTCCGCCTCTCCAGGAAAGCCACGACCACCGCCTTGACTTCCTTCATCTACCCGACCTCCGCGGCCAAGCTGCTCCCCAGATTGATGATGTACGGCGGCATGAGAGGAGCAATTTTGGGAGTGGGAGAGAAGACCTATTACAGAAATGAGGGTTGGGAGGGGTGGGTTTTGTTTTTGAAAATTAGATATCTTCAAGGGACCTGATTACAAATTAAGAAGTTTTAACTATATTTCCATTAAGTCCATATGCTAAATTTATAATTTATAGAAAATATATAAAAAATTGTATTTTATATATGTAACACCTCCCCAGGTGCGTGTAAACCTCCTAACCACTCATATTATTTTTATACATATATATTATAATTTTTTTCCACAAAAAATAATAAAAAAAAAGAAACAAAATTATTAGAATATTGAATATATTTTTATAATATAAATAATAAATTTTTTAATCAACCGAATAATCCAACTATTTCGGTTCGGTTTTATGTTAATATAAATCATGATGCATACTATTGATTGTCAGACTGCACACTAGTTTTGGACCAGATGCACATTAGTGTGTTATATTGCATATTAACATATCAATTTGCATTTTCACAAATTATTAAAATTTTAATTATTTCAGCTCAAGTTCGGCTTTTTATACAAAAGAAAAAAAAAAATACCACGACCGAACTATTCAAACAACTATATAATTATTAACTAAGAAATTATAAACACTAAAACAGTTGTATGAAAAAATAGTTACACTTCAAGTGCACGTTAGTGTTAGTCGTATACTCGTATTGCACATTACTGAATGTCAGATTGCACATTAGTGTTAGACGAATTTCACAATAGTGACTGTCAGATTGCACTGTATCAACCTTACCCCACCAAAATATTTTGTTTAGGATCGAATTTTATGTCGGTTGGATTATATGTGTTTTTTTTTTTCAAACGATAGAAAAGCTCCAATAAACCATAAAATGTGCAAGTACAGAAAGGTCAACACCCTAATGCCGGAGGCTAAGCCAGAGAGCACTACCATTACAAGTAGGCTAAATACACGATAAAACAAACTACACCAAAGGCAGAAAAATATGATCTGAGCCCTCCAGTGTTGGAGAATAGCAAATACAAATGATGGAATAAAAGAACAATAACATAACAGACTACAAGAGAACTGAAAACAAACTACTTAGCCACTAATCTGCCAAGCAGACCTAGCTAAGGACTTTGCCTCTGTTGAGCTCTCTTGGCGCCCATACAAGCTAATTCCTGCCATTCTGCCTAGGCTCCAGGGAGTATACCCTCGCTGGTCTCCATACCCGTTCAAATAACCATAAGTTTCTCGATTTCCAGAGCCACCACAAAATGTATGTGGTTAGCTCTATTCTGGCTATATCTATAGCAACATTTTTGATAGAGAAAATAGTTCCTCACCAGTCCTCAAACTAGCAGTCAGGCACACTAGTACCATCCCAGCTCACTTGGGCATGCTCCCAAACTATTTTGGCTCTAGGACATTCAAGCAGCAGATGCTCAGCAGTTTCTGCTGCTTCTCCACAACAAGCACAAAGAACATCCACATCAACACCCCTTCGTCTCAAATTCACACAAACAGGCAATGCACCAAACATACATTTCCATAAAAAATGATTTAGCTTGCCTTTGATGTGAAGGTTCCATCTGTGCCTTACCTTCTGATTCATTCTTGCATTACTGCTTCCCTCAGCATGTCTAGAGCAAGTAACTTCTTTTTGTGCAGAAAATAATAGGATGAAGCTACTGAGAACTTGCATTTTTCTACCCATCTGCCAGCTCCATTTGTCTTCAAGCTAAGTATCCAGTGTTTTGATTTCCAGCACCTTTAATCCATCAGCCTCTTCAAATATCTCTTTAATCGACATCTCATTCCATTTGATTTAAGAAATAATCCATGGCTTATTAAAAAATCAGATTATCATTTCCGACATTCATTTCTCGAAATTAACATTAATAGGGCATTATCTTGTCTCAAGTCATCGTTGAAACCTCACGGGAATTCATTACCAGGTTTTTCACATGAATCTCATTGTCCCAAAATCAAAAAAATCCCACATGATAGTCAAATAACGCATCATCATGAATATCTAAATATTGTTCATCAATATCGATCAAATAACAAAAATCAGTTTCCAACATTTTCAATGTCATAGTCTAAAAGAAAATAACATGTTAATGACCCAAAACAATTCAAGTTCATAAATCCGGGTCAACTTATTCATAATAAAGCGGAAGCAAATTTAAACATAATTATGACCATCCACTCGCCATCCTGTCGTCGTGCCCGCCTTCTTGCTTAACCTGAAACGTTGATTTCAGGTGGGGATGAGCACAGTTGAAAATCGTAGTGCTCACCACTATCCAATAAATCATGTACAATAACAGTTAGGCATGGTTGCAGCATGAACACGAAACAATCAATTATCACATCTCCTAATCATACATTTTTACTCATGTGCACATCTAACATTAGCCATTGAAGGACATACAGCTCACAACAATGGGAGTAAAATACCGAAAGACATACAGCTCACATCGGCCTTGCCTATCATTAGGCTAGGGAGACTGCCTATCAATAGACACCGTCAAAGGACATACAACTCACAATGACGGGGACAACCGCTCGAAGGACATACAGCTCACAACGAGGGTCACATGGTTCACACGCATGCACTAATCACGCCAATCAACAAATGTAAATAATTTATGGCATAGACAATTTTTAAATATAACCCACCTAGTCGCGAGTAGGAGATAACACAAAAGCATGTATAGGCGGCGCGCTCGGCTCGTCAAGCACCTACATTAAGTCAAGATGTTACAATCAACATCTATCTTGATCTAAAAAGGAAAACACAATCATACTTAGTCGAACTTGATTCGACTAAGTTGTTCGTGAAGTCTTGTGGACGTTGGAACACTTAGACTCGACACTAAGACTCAACCAAATACGCATGGGAGTTCACATAATCTAAATCAAAGATTTACAAGTCAAACAAACAAAGAATAGCATGCGAGTCGGTTAACAGTTTTTAAACACAAAACCATATTTTCGAAATGAAAGCCGGTAATTCACATAATAAGGTTGGTCAAGCTACCGAATGATTTAGACTATGAAATTTTAACCAAAAACCCACCTTACTGTACTTAATAAAACCACCAAGTTTCAGCCCCAAAATCAAAGTATACTTTTTTTATAAAATTCAGACAAGTTTATGGGAAAAACGAGAATAAATTTCCAACCAGACCTAATGAACGAATTAGATTATGAAATTTACACACGAGCAGCAACAGTATGTCAATGACGAAATATAAACATTTCAGCTATTGAAATTAACTACACAAATTTTAAAAATTAAATCAATTTTCTGCAGCTTTCGAATTTTTAACAAAACTGAACCAATATGGGCTTCGAAAATTCTAATATTTTAACAACATGAAATAAATCAAAAAATAAGCATTTCAACCAAAAATCATAATTTTTCAGCAACAGATCGAATTATCATAATTAAAACAATTTTAGGCAGAACAACACAATAAATTATTTACCTTAGCAAAACGAGTCCATAATTCTGAAAATTTTACAAAACATCTTAATTTGAAAGGGAGACAACATACTCAAATTTCATCAATTTCGGAGCACAACTCAATTTATTATACAATTAACACGTTTCTTTCCAGAAATCGATTTAATTAATTAAATTAGCTATAGGCCATGAAAAATTATGAAATTTTTACACAAGCAGTACATTCATCAGAGGGCCTTACTCACAAATTTCACTTCAATCGCATCAGTATGAAATTTATTATGAATTTAATACAAAAATAGCGATAACTCATGTTCGTAAATTCATAACCGACTTAATTTACGACGAAGTCGTCCGAGGTCTTCACCATAAGACCAAGGATCATAAAATGTTCCAATCCACAGAAACATAAACACGAATGACGAGGTCTCGTTCGATTTCCCAAAATTGAAGAGATCGTCTACACACAATCAATATATTGAATCAAAACGAACACATAAAATTTATAAGGCTCATATATATATATATTCGTGAATCACGTTCAACACACCACATAAACGCATAATATAAACGATATATATGATTTAACGAGACGTGGTTCGAGCCTTGTACCATTCTCGAGAGTCGTTCAAAAAACGGGACGAGAGACGCGAAGAGTAACGCGCCGCTCGTGAGGGAAGAACGGCGGCTCGTGGTCGACGGAAGAAGAGGTGCTGCGGAGGAGCAGCAAGGTCATCGGGTTGTTGGGATGGTGGCTCGTGATGGTCTGCTGTTTCACGGTGGCGCGCGGAGGAGACGGGCCCGCCGGAGGTGCTGCTGATGATCGTGCAGCGAGGGGGAAAAAATCGTCGGCGACTTCTGTGCGTGGACAGGGGCTCACCGGAATCTGCTGCTTGTCACACGCGGCCCGTTGCTGGCGGAGGTCAAGATCTCGCCGCTGATTGCAGGTAGCGGCGCCAGAGCTTGTTGCGCGCGAATAGAGATTGCCGGAGGAGCAGCGTCGCGAGGAGATTGTCGGAGGGGAGTCACTGGTCGTGTGCTCGTTGTTCGCTGAGGAGGGAGTCGCCGGAGGTAGAGTGGTCGCGGCGGCGACTTGCGCGGAGGTTTGCAGATCGCAGAGGAGGAGGGGTTGCAGGCGCGGCGATGGTGACGGAAAGGAGGGTGAAGTGAGGGCTACGAAAAATAAGGAAGATGATGACGGGATGATTAGATGTATCTCTTCTCAGCGATCGTGATCGAGATATGAGAGGGAAGAAAGCAGATTGATGGTTGCGGGCCTGTTTCTCTGCTTATGAACGAGCGAGAGAAAAATATAGCGAGACTAGGGTTACTAGTCTTGCCACACAAGACACACACACACGCACAATAGAAGAAAACCGGGCGGGTTAGCCGGTTCATGGGTCGTGCGGTTTTAACGGGCCGATACTACTTGGACAAAAAGGCTGAAATAATTAGTTCTTATGGGCTGAAAATAATAAGGCTCAATTCTAGGTTCTCGGGCTCAATTTTACGGCTCGGTTCTTGATCGCTTGACGATTAAAAATAAAATCGGATATATATTTAATACACACAATATTTAATAATAATATTAATAATAGGCATTTAAACATTTAATTCACATTTAGGCATTCATTAAATAATAATAATAATAATAATAATAATAATAATAATAATAATAATAATTATATTAATAATAGGAATAACAATAAATAATATCAATAATAATAATAAATAATTTTAAATAATCCATAAATAAACGGGGCGCTACATTTAGCTGCCCACTTCCGTTGTTGTTCTTGAGGTGAGGACTTCTATTGCTGGTACCATGTACCCCGTTAAGGTCTTGAAGTCTGACAGCGGATCAATTTCTTATTTTCACTTGCAGTCCTTCTCTGCCGATCCATCTGACTTTGCACCATGACCTCTAGAGCCAGGATGAGTTTTGTTTCAGCTTAGCATCAAATAATGTACTAGTTGGAAAGTACCTACTTTTCAGGATTCTGCTCATGAGGAGGTGTGTTTTGGTTAGAACTCTCCAGAGTCGTTTCACCAGCATTGCATCATTAAAGAGACTCACATCTTTGAACCCTAAGCCCCCTTGGTTCTTAGACAGAGTTAGCAAGTCCCACCTTTTCCAATGCATCCCCCTAACAAACTCATTTCCCCTGCTCCACCAGAATTTGATAAAAATGGCAGCCACTTCTTTGTAGATACTTTGAGGCAATTTAAAACATGCCATCACAAATATGGCTAAGGCATTGAGGACTGATTTGATAAGTACCTCTTTTCCAGTAGAAGACAGGTGCTTGTTTTTCCGACTGATAATCATATTTTTTACTGCTTCAGTAACAAAGCTAAACACTTCTCTTTTTGACTGGCCAATGCCCAATGGTAGCCCCAGGTACCTTGAAGACTTTTGCACTTGAATCCCAGGAAACACTTGACACACCTCATTCTGCATTGATATGTTAGTGTTCTTGCTAAAGAATACTGAAGACTTGGCCATATTCACCTTCTGCCTTGAGAACTATTGGTATCTGGTTAAAATGGATTGAAGAACGTATGCTTGATGCCTGTCAGCCTTGCAAAATATTAAGGATTCATCAACAAAGATTAGATGAGTGAGGATAGGAGCACCTCTGGCCAGTGAAATACCCCTAAATACACCTCTATCCACTTCAGCAGCAATCACAGCAGATAACACTTCAGAGACAATGATAGAAAGATAGGGAGATAATGGATCTCCCTGTCTAATTCCTCTCTCAGCAGATATGTACCCACTAGTACAATCATTAACAATGAAAGAGAAGGAAATTGCGGTCACGAATTCCATTATCCATTTAACAATCTGAGAATCAAACCCCATTTTAAGCATAGTAAGCTTAATGCAATTCCATTCTATTCTATAAAATGCCTTCATCATGTCTAGCTTGACTGTCATGTAAGCATGTTTCCCTGTTCTGTGTCTGTTTAGGAAATGCAGGCCTTCATGAGCAATAACTAAATTATCATTAGGAGCCTTCTAGAGAGAAAAGCTGATTGAGCTGCATTCACACAACCATGAATGCAGTTCCTTCATCTACTTGCCGGAATTTTAGAAATCAACTTGTAAAACACAACACACAAACTAATTGGTCTAAATTGACTGAGGTATTGTGGATTTGCACATTTTGGCACAAGAGTGATTAAAGTATGATTCCAGTAAGCAAGGAGTTTACCAGTTTGGAAGAAACTAACAACTGCAGTGCAAAGGTCCTCCTTAATGAGTGGCTAGAAATGTTGCAAAAAGAGGGCTGGCATGCCATCAGTCCCAGGGGTTTTTCCTAGATTCATTGAGAACAAGGCCATCTTGATTTCATTTTCTCCAACTGAGGCAAGCAACTCTACATTCACTTTCTCTGATATAGTCTGGGGTGTGTTATGTATAAGGTCAACCCCATCATTGGATCCCTCAGATGTGAAAAGGTTGCTGTAGAAGTCTTCAACATGGCTCTCAATATCCTCTTTGGTCTCACAGGTTCTCTGTTGGTCAGTGGTTAGTCTACTGATGCCATTCATCTTTCTTCTTTGCACGACCCAAGCATTGAAGAAATGAGTATTTTGATCCCCCTCCTTCAACCATTGTGTTACGGCCTTCTTATTCCAGAACAATTCTTCAGATTGATTAGCTGTATCTAACTCCCTTTGCAACTTATCCCATTCAGACCAATTCCTCTACCCTCGCGCTTCTATCATTTCCTTAAGTTTCGTTGACAAACTATCAAGTTGAGCCTTTTGATCAGCTCTGAAATGTTTACTTCATTGGAGTAGTGCCAATCTAGCTTTTTGATCTTTTCTTTGATATTGAAAAGAGGTGTTCCTCCCTGATTCCCTCCCAGGCCTGTTGAACCACATTGTCCAGCCCTTCTCTCCTTAACCATCTTTTGTCAAACTAGAATCTTCTGTTACGTTGAGGTTTAGTTGGTCCATCCTCAAGTAACAACATGTAGTGATCGGATGAACTCTTGAATATAGAAGTTGTCAGTCTGAGCCATTGAAAGCATAGACCTTGTCCAAAGCTTCCTCCACAAAGCCCTCATCTGCTCTATTTTTACCCCAAGTAAGTATCCTTTATGTTGTACTTCTGTCATACGCATGTTGCCAAGGAAGGTTTGAAATCCCAGAAAACTAGGTTGTGGTCTCAGTTTGCCTCCTCTCTTGTCTGCCTTGGCCAGATCATTCCAGTCCCCCACCATTCACCAACTATGTCCCTAAGTAGCTTTCTTGTCCTCCAATGTATTCATTGTGCCTCTTTGGTACTCTTATCTGTGCTCAAATAGACAAACACTATCTATCTGAATGGTTCATGACTCTGCAATCTAAACTTCACCTCCATGCTGTAGGAAGTACAAATAACCTGCTTGACTTCCACCTCTGAATTCCAAGCCAACAGGAGCCCTCCACTAAGGCCCCTAGGCTCTACCAATCTACACCTATTGACAAATCCTAGATTTTTTGCATACTGTCATGGTAAACATATTAGTATTTTCGGTTTCAGATAAGAAAGAAAAATGAGGGTGGCGGGTCCTAAGGACTCCTTGAGTTGGGAAATTGTAGAGGCCCCACTCAGGCCTCTACAATTCCACACCACAACTCCCATTGGTTACATTGGGGCTACCTAAGGCTGGTCTTCTCCACCTGCTCTGTATTGGATTTCATCCTTTTATGATCTGAGTCCTCATCTCTTCCTCCAAAGTTGTCAAGTTAGTTGTCTGCCTCTCTTGAGACCTTGAAGTTGGGAGTTGTGGCTGGCATTCTGGTTCCTCTGGGGTCTCCCTTCCTTAGAGCCATTTCTCTTCCTTGTTCTCTGTTTAGGGCTAATGCTGACCAAGGGCAAAAGACAAGAATGATCATTCCCCAGAGCAAGAGCCTTATTTTGAATTGGCTTCTTTGTCCTCCCCTCTTCATCTATAGTGTAATCCATTTCAGCAGGTATATGGATCTCCTCTGAAATGGCTTTATGCTGTGATCTGCATTATGTGTGAGCATTTGGTCACTGTCAGCATCCTATCTTGAAGAGCTTGACTCCACAAGGCTTAGATTCTTCGGGGTTTGCTGAGGGATAGAGTTCTCTTCGACAATTCTATCAGTGAGTAGTCTGCAGTCAATGCTCCCTGCGTGAGCTGGGTCAAAATGAGTCTTATGTGAATCAACTGGGGTATCTGGTCATCTATCTGATGATCTGTTGTTCTTCCCCCCTGTTCTTGGTGTTTTGATTTCTCCTATTTTCAGCCATTCCCCGTATTGTCCTTCTCTGATCTCTCCTTTAGTGATGTCCTTTGGCATACTTTGACAGTCTTTATCCAAATGGCCAAGTAACCCACAATAATAACATAGATCGATGAGTCTCTCATATTTGAAGCTAACTCTTATTATTTGTTCCCCTAACCTGAGAGAAGTAGACCCGGAAGTGCCTTGTTTATGCTTACTGAGACCAGAAGTCTGATAATTCGACCTGCACCAACAGCATTTGTGATTCCCACATTCTTCACCGCTTTGAAAACCTTCCCAGTATTGAGCCCTACATCCAAGCTCAACCAATCCAGTGGCACATTGAACACCTGAACACAGAGGTTTACCTCCTGAAAACAACTGTCTCTCTCACTAATTCCTTTCCTCCACTATTGTAAAACTAGGTATTGGTTTTCATATATCTAGTTGGTACCCATAAGAACATTTTGCAAATCACTCTTGTTCTTAAAGATGAACGGGAAATATTTGGAAGATATTTCACGCACCTCAACACCCTTTTGGATTTGCCATATTCCTGCTAGTGTTCTTTTTAACCCAATTAGGGATGCTCGCCGATTTCCAACCACTTTCCCGACTAGACTTCTTCTGCATTCTTCTGCACTAGCTTTAATATCCTCATTGCCTATGCCAATCACCAGGCTTTCTTCCCCTGACAAGGAGAATATTTTAAGTCGTTTCATCATTTCATCTTCAATGCCCGATCGTTCTCCATTATCCCCCATTTTGCTCGTTTACTGGAAAACCCTAGATCAGAATCCACGCTGCATTAGAATCCTCAATAGCAAGAAACAATTGAAGTGAATGATCCTCAATTTGAAACCCTCAAGGAAGGAATCATACCCTCAAAGACGGAATCGCATTCCTACTCAAGAGAATCTGCCCAAGATTGTCTATTTATAAATGCTTAATTAAATAAAATGTGACCATAGATTCACACAAGTGGGGCAGCTGAATTATATGTGTTTACTTTTAAAATTTTTGTATAACGAAAAAAAGAAAAAACAGATCGAGCAAACTAAGTAAATAAATACTACTCGGCCAAGGACGCGGGACCATCGAACAACCAACGATCGCTGCCCTCTTCCACTAATTGCGCGCAACCGCCCATCACGAGCCGAGTTTTGTCCTCGTGCACGGCCCCTTGCACCGAACCGATCATCCGTTCACTTTGTGTGGACTTTTTCTTTGATTTATTAAAGTAATCAAAAGATCCTATTGAGTTTCGTGGAAACCTTGTGGATTATGGAACATTAATCTGTCCTTGACCTAATAGTGAAGGCCTTGGACGATTTTGGTGAGTATTGAATGAGTTAGGAATTTTTAAAATTCGAGCAAGCTGTTGAATCTTAGAAAATTATTAAAAATATAATACTTGGCCATTTTGAGTGAAATTTTGGTGGGTGAACTCTCTGTTTGTAATGTCTCTTGTGTAAAATATCCAGTGGGCGAAAACGTTGGCGAGGTCACAGGGGATCAGCTTACCTCACGGAGTTGTTATCAAACCAAGGTGAGGAACAATAAACAACTCGCGAGGAAGCAGGTAGAGTCAGAAGAGGGAACATTGAATCGACCTGGGAGTTCGAGTTCGAAGGAGGAAAAGGAGAAGGCGGATAAAGGGAAGGAGAAGGTGGAGATTCAGCCAGGAGGTGAGATCGAGGAGATCCAGATGGTGGAAGGTTGCGAGGAAAGAAAGTTCCGTATAGGGAAGGAGTTGGAGGAGCCCATAAGGTCAAAGTTGGTTGGGCTGATAAGGGAGTTGGCGGATATTTTTTCGTATACGGCTGAGGAGTTGACGGGTATAAAGGCGGAAGTAATTGAGCATAGGATGAATATCGATCTCTCGGTAAGGCCGGTGAAACAGAAAAGGAGGCACCGTGGAGCGGAGATGGACAAGGTAATCGAGCAGGAGGTAGAGAAGTTGTTGAAGGCGGGTCATGTTAAGGAGATTCAATTCCCCGAATGGTTGTCCAACACGGTGATGGTGTCTAAGTCGGGAGGCAAGTGGAGGATGTGCATTGATTTTCGCGACTTAAACAAGGCGTGCCCGAAAGATTTGTATCCATTGCCTAGGATCGACCTACTGCGGGGTGTGAGTTGTTTAGTCTTATGGATGCGTCCCAGGGATATCACCAGATTCCTTTTGGCTCGGGAGGATAGGAAGAGGGTGATTTTTGTTACGAGCAGGGGCACCTATTGCTATGTAGTGAAGACCTTTAGCCTGAAAAACGCGGGAGCGACGTACTAGAGGCTGGTCGATAAAATCTTTAAGGAGCAATTGGGGAGAAACATGGAGGTCTATGTGGATGATATGTTGGTAAAAAGAAAGGAGGAGGCGATCACGTGAACGATCTGAAGGAAACCTTTTTGACTTTACGGAGGTACGGTATGAAGTTGAATACGGCTAAGTGCTCTTTTGGTGTAAAGTCGGGAAAATTTTTGGGATACATGGTGACGAAGAGGGGGATCGAGGTCAACCCAGAGAAGGTGCGGGCGGTGATCGAGATGAAACCGCCCTACGAAGGTGAAGGAGGTACAAATTCTGACAGGCTGGATTGCGGGATTGAGCCGCTTCATATCGAAGGTGGCGGCGAAGAGTGGCTCTCTGTTTCGAACACTGAGGAAGAGCTCAAAATTTCAGTGGACGGAGGATGCTCAGAAGTCATTCGAGGAGTTGCAGAAGGTGTTAGCCAACCTACCTCTGTTGGCTAATCTGGTCCATGCGGAGGACCTTGTACTATACATATTGATCGGGGAAACGGCGGTGAGTTCGGTGTTGTTTCAGGAAGAGGGAACGGTGCAATTCCCGATCTATTATGTGAGTAGGGTGATGCAAGGAGCAGAAAAGAGATATTCGGAGATCGAGAAGTGCGCCTTAGCAGTGGTGGTTACGGTGAGGAAGTTTCAGCCTTATTTTCTGGGCCATAAGGTGAAGGTGAGAACGAACATGCCTCTGGGAGAAACTTTAGGCCAACCCTCTGTATCGGGTCGAATAGTGAAGTGGGCGGTCGAGTTGAGCGAGTATACGATAGCATATGAGCCTAGGAGGGCGATCAAGGCGCAGGCGCTGACTGATTTCATGCAGGAGGGTACAAAAGTGGAGGAAGAGTTAGAAGGAGTTTGGCATATGTTTGTTGATGGCTCGGTGTCGAGAGTTGGAGGAGGTTTGGGCATTGTGTTAATTTCCTCCAAAGGAGATAACCTAGAGTTTGCAGTCAAAGTAGGGTACCGGGTGTCGAACAATGAGGCGGAGTACGAGGCGGTTATTAAGGGAATGGAGTTGGTTATGGCGGGAGGAGCTCGAAAGTTTCAGGTGCATTTGGATTCTCAATTGGTGGTGGGCCAGTTCTAGGAGGATTTCGAGGTGAAGGAAGAAAGGATGCAGAAATACCTGGAAGAGATGAAGAGATTGTGAGAGGAGTTTAGCTCATTTGAGCTGGTGCAGATACCTCGAGGAGAGAATGGTCGAGCAGATCTGTTATCCAAAATAGCACAGAATCTGATCGACTGTAAGAGCAGAAGCGTAACTTTTCAGCACATGGAGAAGAGTGTGATCGAATGTGAGGTGGTCGAAATAGAGGAGGTCGATGACTGGAGAGCCTCGATATTGAAGGAGTTGAAAAAAGGAGGGGCAAAGGTGTTGAGGAGGTTCTCCGAGCATGGAGGGGTGTTGTATAAGCAGTCGTATGCTGGACCCCACTTGAGGTGTGTTACGCGAGAGGAAGGTCAATATGTGCTAAAGGAGACGCACGAAGGATGCTGCAGTGATCATAGCAAGGCGGGTTTCTTGGTGGCCAAAATTCTGAGGGCAGGATATTTCTGGCCAACTATGAAGGAGGATGCAAAGGTGATGGTGAAGAAATGTTTGCAATGCCAGAAGCATGGTCCACTTATTCATCAACCGGAGGAGACGATGACTACGATGAGTGCCCCTATTCTATTAGCGTAATGGGGTGTCGATCTGGTGGGGCCGATGCCGCAGGGAACAAGGCAAAGAAAATTTTTTATTGTGGCAGTGGACTATTTTACGAAATGGGTGGAGGCTGAACCATTGGCAAAGATTACGGAGGAGAAGGTCATACAATTTTTATATAACAGTAATTGCTGCAGGTTTGGTGTCCCAAAGGTGCTAGTGTCAGACAATGGGACACAATTCAATGGCAAACAGATTCGAGCATGGTGCGAAGACATGAAAATCGAGCAACTTTTCCATCGGTCGCTCATCCACAAGCCAATTGACAAGTTGAGGTGACCAATAGGATCATACTGAACGGCCTAAAAACCAGACTGGAGAAGGCGTCGGGTGCATGGGTCGACGAACTCACTTCCGTACTTTGGGCATATCGAACAACGCCGAGGTCGACAACAGTGGAAACACCCTTCAGTTTGGTCTACGGCATGGAGGCATTACTTCCAGTGGAGATCGAAGTCCAGTCCCAGAGATCGAGCATGTATGATCTAGAACAGAATGCGAACTTGATGATGGCGGCCCTCGACACGATCGAAGAACTTCGAGAACGTGCCTCGATCAGGGTCGAGGCATACAAACAGAGAATGCGGGTAGCACATGACAAAAAGATGAAGGTCAGAAGGTTCCAGGTGGGTGACCTGGTCTGGGGTGACGTGCTGAAGCATGTGGGAAAGCTCGAGCCCAACTGGGAAGGACCATACCTGGTCGAGAA